AAACTACAGGGAACCATGCAAAAAACGCATCTTCGCACGGACAGCCCGTGCGTTGGCCAATTTTTTCCTTCTTGAATTCCTTGGACGCCAAGCCAGCGTCCTACTTCTCAAGATTTTTTCATGACTAATGATGGAAGGCTAGTCAAAGCATAGGCAAAATTGCCTCAGGGGGGAGGGTTACTTTTCACCTGTCTCATATAGAAACATTGGCAGGTCCAAAGGAGCGGCACAGGTTGCAGTGCTAAAAGTAAAAAAAAACTATCTTCGACATCACTTGTCGGTCCCCCTTCCTCCTGATTGTTGGTGGTAGGGACGATGAGCCGGGGGAGGGAAGAGTGAGACTTCAACTTAATGACGAAGGGAGGACGAGGTTGGGGAGAGGAAAATCATCGGAATCACCTCCTCCGTCCACCCTCTCCTGGAAATCGCCTATATCTAGAACGCTTTTGACCATTTGAGGCTAACACTCTAAGGCTATTGGCATATGCATTCTGTAAGTTCACTGCCACCGGTTGTAGGTGGAAATCACAGTTAATCAGAGATATAAATTGCAACATACACATAAAACTGTTGCGCGTTGTGGTTTTGACAGATTTTTGCTAATATAATTTCCTATTGTAGCAGCAAAAACCGCATTTCACAAAGAACAGAACGTGATAAACAAAGTTCTGGAAGTATTTCCACATTTCTTGGACTGCCAGGCGGATTTGCGTGACGTACAACAGCTGCGGAAACATATCGAAGGTATGTGGGCATCCATTTCAGACAGTCTGCCTTTACTGTTGTACATACTAGACCACGGTGCTGCACAAAGTGTTCACAAAGTATTTCTGAAAATAAAAGCTTTTAACGCGAATTGATTTGTCCGAATGATTTTCACTGCTTTGCGCTTTGGCCTTCGCAAAAATAATTGAAGTGTTGAAAAATTGCTGAAAATTTCACGCACCAATATGTGAAAGTTAAATTTGAAAGCTTGGAGGGTGAATATCATTCCAAAATTTCAATTTCCTAATTTTCTGACTTTCGAATGATCTTTGAGATAAAACTTTTACATGGTCGTACTTGAGACCTCGGCATACTTTGGAAACGAGTT